GGGTCTATAGTTACTAACTAAATCCCTACCCCCAGCCTTATACACCGGACTTATTATGGCGTCTTTCCAGTCTCTAGGAAGTCTGGACTGTCTCAGAGACATGTCGAATAGTATCGCTAATGGTTCAGCAATTTCATCTGATATGGCTTTCATAATCCTAGGATGAATATCGTCAGGACCACTGGACTTATCAGGTTTGAGATGCTGGAGTAGCCTTAAAACAGTATCTTTCTCAATGACTACAGGATCCATCAGCGAGCCGTCACGGTCGCGACGAATCATTGGTCGTTCCTCATTACCGATAGAAAACACTTTACTAAAGTATTCCGATAAAGCTTCAGCTTTTTCGGCATCATTCTCTGCTAAGATTAACGGATTTTCTCGTATCAAAAGTGATGGAATTCCATCACTTCTCTTAGTTCGCCTTTTTATATACGAGAATAACCGTTTCGGACTATATCTAGAATCCCTAACCAACTGTTTTTCGTATGATAGTCTAGTTTTACTTATTAACGCTTTACAGGCATTCCTAATCTTACAGTAACTGGATCTGTATTGTTCTAAGCCAGTAGAGATGAACATATCCCAGTGATTCTTCCTTTTTCTAAGGAGTTTCCTGACCGTTTTAGTTATCCATGGTGGACTATTATTCGGTCTTCGCGGTACCAGGTATGGTATGAACGGGGACGTAACTAGTCTAAATTTACCTTTAAATACAGACCATGCTTCTTCAACTGATATGCTAGTATCTACTAACCAATCTGTCTTAGCAGCACATTCCTGAATGGCTGATATGTTAGCTTTCCATACATTTGGGCGAGGTGTAACCTGATCGTATAACATGTCCCTAGTTCGAAACGTGAATGACAAAACAGCGTGATCGCTGTTCACTAACGGCGGGAGAATATTTAAGTCGACAATATCCTCAGTCTCATGAGTGATTACCAAATCCAGCAGAGAAGAACCCTGGTTAACACCAAAACGTGTGGGTTGGGATACATGCTGTACTAGTGCATGCTCCATTATTGTCATCAGGAACTTACTATCAAAGGAGTTTATAGATCCTTCTGTGGTCATATCAGTCCAACTAATATCAGGTGCGTTAAAGTCTCCTATTATCAAACATCTGGTATTTTCACTCCAAAGATGAATGTGCTCTAAAACAAAGTCATCAGCTAGGCAGATTGGGCTCCGATAGATGACACCTAGCATAAATGTACTACATCCTATAGCCAACTTACAGCTAATGACTTCACAAGTGCCGCTATCATGGGATTCGCTAATAGAGGAGCGGATATTTATGCTATTGGCTATGTATAACAGGACGCCGCCTCCTTTCCTACATCTATGTCTATCACTCCTGATGCAATGGTATCCGGATAATTCTGGAGTAATGTCTAAGTCATCGACTAACCAAGTTTCTGTCACTGCTACTATGAGTGGCTTTAACCTGTCCACTAGTGCTTCTAGTTCATAGAACTTATTTCGTAGACTACGAGCGTTGGCATATAAAACTCCTAAGTAGAACAGCCTATCCACACAGGCCTTGGTAGCATTCGCTTCCAAGACCTGACTATCCGAAAACCCACTAGCCGGAGATTTTCCTCGCCGTTTTGCCGACGGGTTTCAAGCTCAGCTAGTGCTTTCTTCCTTTTTATTCTATCTTCGAGAGATATGTCAGGTCTAACTCGGATGTCAGAATTGTCGTGACAACGAGCGCTACTTAACAAGAGATCCCGTTGCTTCTCCGATCCTAGGATTACCTTAAGGAGTCTGCATGGACGGGGTTCAACATTGTCCTCGGTCCTCTTGCCTATTCTTACCAACTTTTTAACCTGAACTCCTTTGGAGTTATCTGGTAAAATACTACGAATGTATTCTCCTAGCTTTTCTAAGTCATGCGCGTGTCTAATTTTCGGATCAGGGTCATTTGACTCCCGCAATTTGCTCACAATAATATTCGATGTTATTAGATTTTTCTTCTCAGTTACGCCAGGATGGGTTTCACTCTTACGATCAGATCTTGGTAGTGCAATTTGTGGCTCACAATTTGAGTCCACCAGTGAGTTACTAACTGCCTGTGTACTGCTTACAGCTTTTTTCTTTTCGTTTCGTTTCCTACGTACCGTAGTCCATTTTTCATCCCTCATAACACTGGGACTATTTGGAACGGTGACTGTTTTATCCAGATCTAAGGTTCCTACTAAAGGTGCATTATTAACAATGTCAGTACTAGGTGGTACTACTCCCCCTGTTAATATCAACGAAGATTTCACTTTTACGTCGGTCACAGTCGGTTTTTTGAGGCGTCGCGTAACAACACTGACACATTCGTCACTGTCAGTGCCCGTGTTGTCGGTGCATATGCCATCATTCTTCTTACAGGCCAAAGCCAATAGGCTCATAGCCTCCTGTATTAGCAATGCCTTGTTGGCACAGCAAAACATGCAAAGCCAATGTGAGTTAGGCTTCGAACATCTTTTATATGCAATAGGACTTAAACGGGTGCACATTTTGTGGAACCATTTATTGCATTCGTCACACTGCATTCCCTCCTCCACAGGGAACAAACAGTTTGGTTGTCCACATTTGTGGGTACTACCAACCATTTTAGTCTGATTTAGGTGTAATACACAATATGATCACAGTATGGACCACAAGACAAACTCTAGCAAGATGTCAAACCTTAACTAAAGTACTTTGATACAGACCAAGAATGCTTTCGAATGTGATAAATACACAAAAGCCAAAAAAACTCAGTAAAATATCACCTTAACTGGAGTAGATTCAATTAAAGTGTAAATCGTAGTTTTGATACGTAATTTACGATCAAAACAGTTTAAAAATTTAACGAGAAACAATACCACTGTCCTTTTTAGATAACGCGCTTTCTCAAGTAAACGTTGAATGGTTAGTACGTGTTGCGAAAAATTATTTTTAAAAACCACTGAATAACTTCATGCCACTCCACTCACTTTTGACACCCGGAGTTGTTATTGTTCGCTGTTGTAAGTTTCATAGAATCATCCAAGCGTCCTTATATGAGGCATCGAAACAAATGCTCTATTTCAGCACCTTTCCTCGGGGCTTTGAATGAAATTTTTTAGTGACTGTAATAAAGTAGCTTTGTTTTCTCTTACTGTTAAGGGTTAGCCCACGTAGCTGGAATTCACTCATATGACCTCGATAGCTTGTTTTTTCTACCTGTTTATGAAGTGGTGAAAGATACTAGTGTTATACTAGTTATACAAATAGTGGAATGATATGGGCTAAAAAATTTAGTGCTCACGATTACGTACACCCTAACTCATCGAAATAGCTAGCGTTTCTCGACACTCGCCCATTTTTATTACCACTTCATTCCCGGTTGCGTAACTGTTCTACACTTTTCAGCTAAAATCATCCATTGGCTTAAAATCACTTAGAATCTTCTAAAGAATCAGGCACCATTGAATAGAACTAACCAGCACTTTTCAGAACACATAAAGGATACTTCTGATATGGTTATAAAAGCTCCACTACCACATCAAACAAATAGAAAATGTCAACCGTTTGGCTTCCTCAAGGTTAAACCCCATACACACGTAACACTACACCTTTAAAGGGAATTGTCAATTTTTTCTAGCACATATGTGCCTGGTCCTACGTTGTAGCTGACTGACTGACTGACTGTCAAATACTTAGTTAGAACTAATCACCATACCAATTCTTCACTCAGTCCTTTTCGTAACCTCAGCACTAACTTCGAAAATATCATCGTGTATACACCATCATCTCTATCAAATGAGTTTAATTTCTTTTCTCTCATAGACCAATGTACATACTGCCTCGTAGCTGTTCCTCTTATTAACGTCTTAGCAGTAAAAGTAGCTAAAACGCTAGATTTCTCATTACGAAGCGTCAACAGTCACTACGACTGACAGGGAAGCATAATTGGAAAACTGTCTTCAACTACTTAATAAATCACTAGGAATCAAATATTCACAAAACACCATATAATCCAACATCAAACGATTTGATAGAAGGTCTACTTTGGGAGCTTGAAGGTCTCCTCACTGCTGCACTGGATATTAATGATTGGGACGCAAAATCGCTGATGATGTTAATGCTGAGATTGATAATTAAACAAGATTTTGGATGTTGAGCAGCTGAGTTGGTTTATATAACTAATTTAAGGTTACCTGAAAAGTTCTCTACCTTACATAAGTGTTCCACTTGGTATAGTTGGTTATGTGTAATGCCCTATATAACTTATGAGTGAACTGAAGAAATCACGTGTTGTATGACAATGATGAACACGCGTTCAACAACTGGCTGATCACGTACGTCTTTTCGTGAAAATGGACAACATCCCGTTCCCTTCACAAATAGTGTACAATGGGCTACAAAGTTGTCAGGAAAAGCAATTAACTCATTACCGTTAACAAGCAAGGTAAGACTAACACTATTGAAATTGATAAAGTAACACCTACTTTCTTTGTTGATCTGCATATTGACGGTAGGAACTATATCCAAATTTCCTTCCTAAACCTACACGACAAATGAAATCGCTTCCAGTGCTTGCAACAAAACCTGACAAAATACCGCAATCTAAAGACGCGTCTGTTAGCCAGAATGATATTGAGTCAATTGTGTTTCTTTCATACATGGAAATCTTTTGACCGACATGTACATTTCACAACACATGACATTGTTATAAATCTTGTCACATGAAATGACCTACATGCCATATATATATATATATATATATATATATATATATATATATATATCGTTTTAAATGTGATTTTTCAACATACTACTTATTACTGACAATTTTTATTTATTTATTTATTTATTTGAACACATAAATATTGGTACAAGAGGGCACCAAATATATATGCGCACGCATTACTGACAATAATATACTACTATACGTATGTGTTATATAATATTACACCAAATCATTATCTAATTAACTTATTTCCACCATTCACAAATAGTTTATTCAAAAATGGAAAATATTTGAGCGAACAATTGTTTTCGATAACGTCATCATCAGGCTCTACAGTCATAAGTCCATAATTATTGTGATATTTTACAAAGGTCGAAATAAGTCATGCATTAATGAGTTCGGCAATGTTATATGTCAAAAAGGGCGAACCTTTGCATCTGTTATAGTATAAATACTCCAAAATTGTGTTATTTGTAAATTAGTAGGTCATTTAATAAGGGTCAGAATGATTTGCAGTAAAGTGTCAAGTCACTATCAATATAATATAACGAAATAAAAAATCGTGTGAGTAAAATGCATAGTATAAGAATTTAGTCTTGTTACTCGAGGTAGTAATAATAATATGAACATTGTGTGAATATAATTTGTAATAAGAGAGGTGTTATCAAGGCAGTTGCAATGAAAAGAAATTCGTGTGAATTGGGACAAATGATTGTGAAGTTTATGAAAGATGTAAACACAAAAGGAAGTGGGAAGAGGAATAAGAGGTTTATAATATCCAATATAGGTATCCGGTGATCCAGTCGCGGAGCAAAGTAAACATAGATGCTTCATATACTCCTGTACACATAAGTTCAGTTTTTGGAGTTGATCCACATGGATTCAGCGATGTAGAGTAGCCGTTATCTAGCTCTTTTAGGTAGATTATTTGGAACTTGGTATAAAAAAAGAGAAAGCTCCATCTATTTTGATATGATGCTTACCGTCCACCAAATGAGAAAGAATGGCGCTGTTAATCGATATAGATTACATGTAACTTGGCAGCGTGAAACGTCCTATCAGCAGATCTTTTGAGTTGACGTGTTAAAATATCACCCGCTATGTCCCATTTAAAGCTCACTTTCAGATAATGGAGGTTTTTACTGGCCGTGTCAGTTTGATCTTTTTTCATTACCTCTAATGGAAAATTCCTAACGTAATTACCTGGATAGTTGTTGTTCCGTAGTGTGTTCTTTTGATTATCTACTTCTTTATCTACACTATCTTCAGAGAATAGTAGTTTAATTCTGTGGTTGAGACATTTAACCAAATTTATTTTGTATTAAAAAGCTGTAAAGCTATAAAAATAGATATACTGACCTGTTCATGTATTATTTCCAAATACATTACTTCCCATGGAACCGCCTATCCTTCTAAAAAGTAGGACATCGAGGAAAGCTATACCATTGTCGTTCTCTTCTTCCTGGTGAATTTATTAACTGAGAGGACGTTATTGAAACAGTTCTTATTTGTTGATACTTTCGTAGCTACCTCTCTTATTACAAATTATATTCACACAATGTTCATATTATTATTACTACCTCGAGTAACAAGACTAAATTCTTATACTATGCATTTTACTCACACGATTTTTTATTTCGTTATATTATATTGATAGTGACTTGACACTTTACTGCAAATCATTCTGACCCTTATTAAATGACCTACTAATTTACAAATAACACAATTTTGGAGTATTTATACTATAACAGATGCAAAGGTTCGCCCTTTTTGACATATAACATTGCCGAACTCATTAATGCATGACTTATTTCGACCTTTGTAAAATATCACAATAATTATGGACTTATGACTGTAGAGCCTGATGATGACGTTATCGAAAACAATTGTTCGCTTAAATATTCTTTGTTTTTAAATATTTTGCAAACGTGGTTCCCGCTCTGTATTTGGAATTGTCATCGGTGTTCTGTTGTGAAAGTGTAACTAAGAAGGTCAAGCGACACGTAACCACAGCCAGAAATTATTCCTCTTTATCCAGGTATCAGGAGTGTGTAGTATCATCCACTCAATCACATTTGGAGGATCTCGTAGCCTTCTCTATAAATATGAAATAGTTAGGTATTTTGCTTCCTTCGGTTTTGGTATGTTAAATATGATTTATAGAATTCTAGCAGTACGATATTTTAGTTTTGTTTAATTTGATTTTTCAGGGTCCAGTCATGGTTACAGAATGCTTGAAACCTTATGCGTCACATATTCGGGTACATTTTGTTTCAAATATAGATGGAACACACATTGCGGAAACATTAAAGAAAGTAAATTCAGAGACAGTTCTGTTTATCATCGCCTCCAAGGTAGGTATCCTCTGAGTGTCTGACACTTCATACTCGTTACATAATTTTGAAATATTATTATTAAATCTTTACTTGTTTTCCAATAACCTAGCCAAAAGTGGAAAATGCGTTGTTGAGGTTTCAAATATTCATCGACTAAGGCGTTTAGAACGTGTGTGACGTATGCCGAATCAATTCCTTCGATGCTCGATATGGGCCAGTGTGGGAGTAGATTGAAAAAACAGCTAAGGGCGGTCAAACCGAAATGTGTCAGTTCATGTAGTCATTAACAGTTAGTTTACCATGTTAGCAGATGCAGACTACCTTGTTGAAGTCTGTGTGATAGCTGCGTTCATTGTCTGGAGACGAGTAGCATGGTTCACTTTAAATCATAGTGACACGGACCCATGTAACGTAGGTCCTATTTTTCCATTTCTTTCCCTTGACCAGCATTCCCAGTCCTCAATTTTTTTCAACATTATTGTTGCTACATCATTTCATTTCCTTTGTTAGTGTGGTATTTCAAATTGGGCAACATATTTTTACCGGGGTTTACGTTAATGGCAATCGACCAATTCTATTTCTCCATAAAATCATTGATGGCTGGAACTCAAGTTTTGTTTCTTGTTTGTGTTCCGATCTGGATGTTATCTTAGATCGTCACACTTATTTTAATTTTATGGCTTGTGTAAGTGTTCTAACCAAACACTTTTTTCTTTTTAGACCTTCACTACCATTGAAACGATGACCAATGCTAACTCTGCCAAAGAATGGTTCTTAGAACATGCGAAAAATGTAGGTAACGACCGGTAATGTATTAGGATTCTCCGTTAAATTTCGTTTTCAAGTAATCAGTTTTCGCTGTTAGGTGATTTTTTATCTGATGTTGGTTGAGTATAATACTTCATAGATTTGATGCAACATAATACTTAAAAGTGACATCATATAGTATTTATAACAGTAATGTAAGTTGTTTATCTCTTACCTGCTTTTACAGGTTTCTCACGTGGCCAAGCACTTTGTCGCCTTATCAACTAATGCAACAGAAGTCTGCAAATTTGGCATAGCACCGGAAAACATGTTTGAGTTTTGGGATGTAAGTCTACCTCAAAGTACTATGAATATTATCCTGAGAGTTTCTTAAGTAACTTGCATATTTCAGTATTTCTGTAATTTCGATAGTATCTTTAAGCCGTCGATATATATTTATAGTAGCCAGGCCTGTGTACTAAATAAGGCTTTGGTTCCTTGTCAAACGCACGATTTTGTTTCTTTATTGTTTCCCAAAGTTTCACAGTACAATCATTATTTCCAATCTTTCTCATCGGAGCCAATTCAAGTGACATGCATCCATAAACTCGGAATGACTAACAGTATTTAAACAAAAACGGTTTATATCCTTCTTTTGAATTCCAATCAGTGATAAAAATTTCTTCAAAGCCTATCAGTCAGTGGAATCAAATGTTGCCTTTAGTTTGGAGATAGCGACTACAGTTGGGGCTTGGTATATATATCTGTGTCTGAGGGTAACTATTTGGTCACTAACTTCTCAATCAGGTCTGAAACCGGCTTAGATTTCTCAGATTAGTTGTTTCGTAGTGCCATTTAGTTGTCTTATAATTATGAATACGAGTAAATTAGATACTCTCAGTTACCTTCAAAATAATTTATATGAACATCCGTCAATTTGAAAAATTCCTTCGTCGCAACTTTTATCCTTCTATATTCTATGAATGAACTGAAATTTCTGTCTTCTTTTAATTGTTGTAGTGGGTTGGAGGTCGTTACTCATTATGGTCTGCCATAGGTTTATCTATAGCTCTTTACGTAGGTAAGTTGTTATGTAGTTATAATTTATAATCCGCTTGGTTATTAAACTAATATTGTGTATCTCTTCGTACGAAGTTGTGATTTAATGGTCTAAACACTTTCGGTGTAGAATTAAATGTTCATCACATAGAATACAATAATTTACTCTCAAACAATACATTTCATTTTCAATGTATTCATTGTATTCATAAAATTCGATGTTAAACCAAAATAGTCCTTACATAGAATTAATTTGGACAGTTGTAGATTTTAAAAGTTGTTGATAAACGACCATACTTATCAACGTTTTCTCCATGATCAACCAAGCTATAGAAGTCTTGGTGACTGTTTACTTTTGTTCGAGACATTTATTTTATTAATCTCTCACTAAACTGAATATTCACCAGATAAATCGCCTTGACCCATTGCTTTTTATTTTTGTCTCGTTTATTGATTAAGCACTAACAATCAACATGTATGCTTGTAACTTGCGCATATGTAGTAGTATAGACTTTCTTTATCTACTAAGGTATGGAGAATTTCATTAAATTGTTGGAAGGAGCTCATGAAATGGATAAACATTTCAAAGAAACGCCATTACATAAAAACGTGAGTTGTTATGTTATAAATTTCTTTATTAATGCTGCTCTAAATTGTTATTCTTCCGAGTAAATTATGTGTGAACTAATATTCCTAAATAATAAGGATAAATATGAGAGCAAAATTTTTATTTGTATTAAAGTCAGTTTAAAACTACACAAATTATAAGTAACGCTTTTCTTATACAATAGTGTAATAATTATAAAGTCATTATATTCTATAATCATCTAGAATATACTGAAAATAACCCCCAACTAATGGCTTTTAAAGAAGCGAGACGTTTTTCTTGAAATTCACTTGACAAAAAACGACTGTATCGTTCCTGCAACTATTATATTAGCGAAGGATTAAGAAGTAGTCAAAACAGCAGTGTACAAAACCAACCAAATAAACAGTATTTCAAAATTCAAATATGAAGATGACCATCTTTAAAATTAAATTCCACATCACTCCTCTTTTACGCAGAATTCTCTCCAATTGTTTGATTGTTTCATTTTTATCAGCCGAAGTTGGTATCAAAGCGTTATAAAAACATACATGTTTTAGTATGTCACATAGTTCTTAATAGATAATCTTACTTACGTCTGTTACCACTCGTGAAGGAGCATTGGTTGCCCACCAGCATTCTCCATCGAACTCTGTCCTGGAAAATCCTTTCCAGATTCCATTCATTATTTTGATGTTTGCTTCCAATCCTCGATGCAATGTGTTCCTTGTTCACGGTGTTAATATTGTTGGAACTCTGATTCAGGACGTTGGTTTAAATAATCTACCAGCTGGTGACCACAACTTTTGCTAGTGAAGAAATAATACTTTATTGAAAGTGATGAGTTGTTACATTCTATTAAAACTCTCCTTTCACACTAGAGAATCCAGTGCATTAAGAAAGAACTGAGTTTCAGATCATATTTGAATAGTTAACTTCCCCAAAATTTATTTTTCTAATAACCCTATGACGATGAAACAAGGAACTCAAATCATGAATTCCGTGTTTAGGTATAAAAACATGTATGTCAGAATTAAAATGAGCTAATGTATTTTAATCTTTATTTATTTATTCAAACACATAAACATTGGTACAAGGAGGCACCAAATATATATGCGTCACACTTTATCATTCGATTTGTGTGAGGTCTGGAATAATGTCTGGGCACCCAAACCGAAGCAGGGGGTTTTCTTAGGTGGCCACACCCCAATAATGTGTTGTATGAGCATTCATTCAAACCCACTTGTCATTCTCTTACATTACTAACTTCCAATCTTTTAACCTATTTCAAAATTCACTAACTCCAACCTCAATATCAATGTGAATAACAGTGTTCTTTTATATTGATACACTGGGTTAATATAGTTTAGAATATATAAAATTTAGTTTAAGTTGAATTTAACAAAATAATTTTTAGTTAACCATTGTCCCATTTACAAACTGCTAACTTTATCATATTATACGAATCGTTAACATATATTTCATATATTTAATTTTAGTCAGTAAGCTTGTCAAATCAGTATAATGTATATAATATTTATTGTTATTTTATGCAATTATTCGTCAACGTTCATTAATGTGTGATTATACAAATGTATAGATTAAGAATTTTATTATCAAAAATCCGGTAATAATTCACCAAACTTATATTCAAATAGATACAAATAAATAACAGATTACCATTATTTTCGTTTCGAGTATCTGTCCATCATTAGTAAATGTATCAATAGTTTGTAAACTATAATGCCAGATATTTTGTTGATGAGGTCATGATCTAAGTCAATATAAGACGTTTAATGTATGATGATCAGAGATAATATAACTTGAATCAACGAAGCTCGGTGACCAACGTAAGTTATGACACTAAAATGAGTGTCTATAATAACATTGCTTGTCATTTAGTATAGCAGATATCACCTGCTAAAGTGAAGATATTATGGATACTACTGGTAAGTGAATACATGAGTAGACAGAGTATAATCGGAATGACCATCAAGTGTTCCTTCGCATTAAGTGATATAAGTGTAAAATTTCCAATGTAGAAGACATTGTGATGAGGCGTGCGACACTAATGACGGAATTCAGTCACATCATTGTACATGATACAATTCAACTGGAATTGATTGAGGAGTTATAACATAACTATTCAATACTGAATATTAATCCTTCACAGTGGTTGTACATAAGATAGTTTGCTTCTACTTGAAGGAAAACCACCAAATTGATGGCTTTTTGAGTAAGATTCCGATAGTATTCTTTCCTCTATAGTGTTAACTATATACTAATTATGACAAGAATGTAAATCTTTCAGTAGCACCCATATTTTCTAAATAGATTTTGTCAAAAGTAAATGATTAAACTTTAATCAACAGCTATTCGACATAGCGATGGCTACCTGTCAACAATTTGACAGACAAACTACTGGCTTCATTTATATTTGTGCGTTTTTAAATTTTCTTTATCCTTCCCTAGCTTGGTCTTTGAAAATGTATATTTTTTGTCGGATAAGAATATGTTGCATAATTTGAAGGTTAAAATGATTCATAAGTTGCTATTATACTCTCCGTCGTTTGTAAATTTTTAAAGTTAACCGGCCATTTAGATATATCCCAGCTTTCAGGTTTATACTACACCATCTCTTCACGTTCATTTTTACGTGATTATGGCTTTCTAATTAAAAGTAAACATGTTAACCGTAACATTTTGTTCTCTAAAGTCCTATGGTCACTTACCATGTGTAGTATCATTTTTATATCTAACTATATAAGTAGTTTTGCAAAATAATAAATATATTTTACTTTATAGCTTCCTGTCATCCTAGCTGTGTTAGGTGTAATGTATATCAATATTTATGGGGCAGAAACTCAAGCAATTCTACCATATGATCAATATATGTCACGCTTTGCTGCATATTTCCAACAAGGTGATATGGAATCGAATGGAAAGTTTGTTAGACGTGATGGTAAAGAAGTTGATTATTCCACTGGTCCCATAGTTTGGGGTGAACCAGGAACAAATGGTCAACATGCATTTTATCAACTTATTCATCAAGGCACACGGTTAATCCCATGTGATTTCTTGATACCAGTACATACACACAATCCAGTTCAAGGTGGCTTACATCATGAGGTTAGTGCGGTATTTATGTATGGTGCTAATATTTACAGTTATATGAGTTCCTCCGAAATAATTTTTTCTGGGATTAGTTCCAGCTAATTTGTTGAAACCAAAAAGTAGTTTAGACACTTCATTTCTGCAACTATAAAATGTGAGTTAGTAATAAATACATGTCAGTAAATTTCTCGAGGTTCACGAAAATAACAAATCATGTATATTTACCACGAATCGGTTGCTTTTTCATTTGCGTATTCCTCCAGTCGACTTGTTATACTTCCTCATCAACCCTATTTTAGTAGTCCACATTCTGTACAATGATCAAACGGACTACAAGGAAGTTCAGGTCTTATAGCTAAATCTATGGTAGTTTTAAATATTTGTTATCTTCCCCATGTTATAACTAGACTTGTTCTTCAAGGTAAATGGCTGTCAAATGTACATTATACAAATTGAGTGTCTTAGTATATAACAGTCTGTCACAGAATAAACCTAGTATTGATAATTTCATAGCTTCACTGGGAAAAATATCTGGTTGTATTTATTTATTTGAACACATAAATATTGGTACAAGGGGGCACCAGATACAAATGTGTAGCACAACAATAATGAGAATGGGAAGAGATAAATGATATAAGGTGCATGTAAAAAGAAAAAAAGGAACAATAATGACCACAAATTGGCGTATGGTAGTGAGATAGTAATAATAATGGGGGAAACAGAAAGGTACACCCAGAAAGAATTCCTACAGTTAAAGAAGTTACGGTCACTGTTTATGAAGAAACTAAAAGAAGGTTACAGCAGGGTCGCCACTGGCTTCTATTCTGAGCCATATCTGATAACGTCTCTAGCCACTGTGTTGCACCATCTCTCAGACCCCACCCAGGGAGGAAGGACCAACAGAAGCCAGTCCTTTTCAGCTATCATACTACGACACCATGTCATACACTGACCACCTCTCCGCTTTTTCCAACCAGTCCCAGCGTCGGCAAATAACCAAAAAGTCACCACCATCTTTAGAAAGGGCCGGAGGTAAGTCATCTGGATCCGGTGATTTGTAGCGTTTAGAGAGTGGGAGTTCCTTGCGAACTTCCGCCTCATTTGGTGGATCACTCATGTGGTTGTAAATTTTAGTACATTCATAATTACTTTATCACAAGATTCGCCTTTCTTATGGAAACAAATTTTCGCTGACGAAACACTTGTATCTTTTAAACCTACTGTAAATAATAATACATTCCTTTAACGAAATCTGTTCACAACACAATTGCTCTCTGTTTTAAAAATTGCATTAGGCATTCAGTTCATCAATAACTGAACTCCTTGTTCAAATCACACTGTATTGTTTCCAGTTTAAAAAATCTAAGTGACATCTCCATTTCGCACATTACATTTAACCGTTAAAACTAGTGTGATAAAAATAAATAAAATATTGATTACTCCAAAACTTTCTCTTTGGAATAGGTTTTATCAACTAGTCAAGTTTTGTGACTTTAAGTCCGGCTAGTTATCACGTGATTTATTCGCCAGTCAAAATACGACTTATTCACTCTTGCACTGTACTAAACCAATGACGTTCGATCGGCCTGATCAGCTTAGCGTCCTTACTGATCCTTTCCTTGCCTAGCCCGTCCAGTTGAATCCAGAACACCAATAATAGCTTCCGCTATGTGAACCCTTTACTTCAAACATACTTGGTTTATATACCAGTCAAACAGACCGCTTCACACCATAAAATAGGAAATAACATCTATACAAAATAAGGCCAGAAGTGGCTATGAGCGTGGGAGACAGTAATCAATAAACTGAACATAACTTAAGTACCGTAAATCGTACAATAATAATTTATAGGGGAAAATGAAGCTTATAAGAAGGATGTAGATATACACAGTCTAGTTACTGAATAGTTATACAATAACAATATATATAAAATATTAGTCCATTAATAGTTCTCAGAATTTACTCGTAATTTAATCTTCACTAGGATATAACAATAAGCAATGTAGAATCCGGAGCAAATATACTTTAGCCTAAGTTATCATACCACATCAGGACGACATAAAAAATATTAACATAATGAACAGCAAAGGAGTCCAAATGATCTAGTTGCATTGATAATGCGCAAGACTAATAACTGAAAAAGACTTTGTGTATATGAATACTGGATATCATGGTCTAAACAAATATAAGGAATGATTAGATCTGTATCATGTCACCCAACGCCTCCAACCACTGATCACTGTTATCGCAAGAACTTCAATCGACTAGTCTGCATCAACCAACTTGACTTAAGCCAACAGTCGATGACTTCATGGGCTAATGTCAATTATTGGGTTTCCCATGCTTTTTGTACATTGAAGCAGTTGTTTTGTCTTTCTGTACGAAAAGTCCTTTAATTCAACTAAGTTCAAAATGTATTCACTTTCTAAATGCCATTCAAAATTAATAAAAACTTTCGATTCATATCCAACAGAAAAATGTTCACAACATCAGTGCCTTTTTATAAATTGCCAATATGCAATGAGCAGATAGAGTTGGTTTCAAGTTATTTGTACACTACATTTCCGATCGTAGATTTTGTTTATGTAATCAGTCTAAGGTTAATAACAAGGAACAATTAGTCCTAAAGGACGATTGGAAACATCGATACTTTTTCTATACTACATGATCTTTTTCGAACATTATTATAATATCATTACATTATAACATTATTATTATTACACTAAGCTCTCTAAATGTTTTGTTTTCGTGTTCTGTCGTAAGACTAACGGGTGGGGAGCAGTCATTGCCCTCGAAAATTTGTACTTAGCTTTATAGAATTTCGCATGTTTTTACCAGCTTTTTTTTATTTGTTTATTTGTGTTCTCATGTCAGATAAAGAATATGAAGATTTCATGATTAAATCATCCAGCACATAGAACACAACATCCCTTAAAAATTCCTGTGGACTACTTGTGGGGCTACTGCAAGAAAAAGGAAGTTGTCTCCATTCATTGTCTAGAACAGTTGTCGTTAGAATTATGAATCTTATCTGTCAAACTAATGTTGATCTCATCGAATTACCAGTAGTTCTTTAAGGTATTGCGCTTTAACAAAATAATTAAGGACATTCATGTAAGCCATACATATATACAACAAACATATATTTAGACTTTATAATAAACATGCTAACCTCAAAAGATCTATACATAATAATTGTCTATCCTCAAACTCTGTTTTGTTTGATTCCTCCTTGTAGTTATTGAAACGTCTGATTTCATATAATGTTTTAACTCTCTTTGTGATTGACGATAATTGTATTATGTCAATTAATACACCTACCAACATTCCTAAGTATTTTCTAAAGAATTCTTTATTCTATCTACTTATTCAGATTCTCCTATCTAATTTTTTGGCTCAAACTGAAGCTTTAATGACTGGTAAAACAAAAGAAGAAGTTCATAAGGAATTGTTTGCTGCTGGAGTTACTGGCGACTTATTAAATTCACTTGCATTGCATAAAAGTTTCAAGGGTAATCGTCCATCTAATTCCATTGTGTTCACCAAACTGACACCATATATTTTGGGCGCTTTGATTGCTATGTATGAACATAAGATATTTGTTCAAGGAATTATATGGAATATTAATTCTTTTGATCAATGGGGGTATGTTATGACTTTATCTATGTATATTGTGTTGATTTATGTGATATGTTTATTTTTAATTACACTTAACTGGATAATAGTGTGGAACAATGTCTTATTTATGATGTCTGACACTCAAGTACTAGGTCGCAAGATTGAGTCCCACCCAGCCTACTTCGGCTTGGGCAGTTGAATGTTATCATTAGCTCTCACATAAAAAGTGTTGCTGAAAGTTGAGTACACGAATCTGTACTTGAGAAATGAGTAGCATCATCAATAGCTATTTGATATTCGTAAATCGACCCACTTCAAATCAATAAAATGTCGTTTCTTGTTTTCAGCCATTGTGAATAACCATAAATAAAGTTGTGTCGACTACCGTAAATCGATGTATGTAAATGCTAATAATTATTCATAGCATAATTAAGCAAGTTATTCGATATAAAGACAAACAAATGAAAATAAGTAGTGTGATGAATCGTGATTTCATCAACAAATTCAAGAGAAGAATGCTAATCGATGGCTGCTGACGCCATTAAACTATTGACATAAGCCGCCAATTCAACTGCCTACTGGAGTCGGGCATTTTTCATTGAATAACGCGTTTATCTGCAAAGAACTTAACTCAAGAATAAACAGGATTAGACGTCATTTAATATATAAACGATTACAACATATGAGATCCATAGGTCATTAACTTTTCCATAAAATTAACGTGTAACTATCTGGCTTAATTCTTACTTCGTCATATGACAGTAACAAATAAAGATTGTCCATCGAAAAAAACTATCCCAGTACACAGTGCAAAAGTCGTATTTGAAATAATCGCAGCGATTAAAATTTAAATAATTCCGACACTTCGTCCGACAATTTTGTTTTGACTTCTTCAGCATAATAATCGGGATTGTTGGAGAATATAGAGTTTAATGAGCAAATCTACACTAAAACCTTATCCGATCATATTCAGACACCACATTTTTTTAGTAGAGGAACGTGAGTCCATGAGATGGGAGTAATTCGGAAATGGATGAATACGTACGTATGCGCACATTTATGTTAAAATTCAGTGAATAATTCTATTCTCTATCTAATACCAAAGTTTTGTTTACTAGTTCTGTTTATCAAAAATAAAAATAATAGTAGAGATTGAATAGTATGTTAAAGCGTCAAACTCTATGTAAAATGAGAGAGGAGAAATGCATAACTGTGATGTTTAGGCATTAAAATCAGTTGTTTTTAGGGATAAAGCTACTTGCATTATGAACAGAAAGGATAGAGTTAAGGTCCAAATTACTTTTTCATATGCAATTGGTAAGGTAGGTTAGTTGAATTTCATCCATTTATGTTCAGACTTTTCTAATTAGCTCGTATAAACAGTGCTTTTTCTTTACGTGTACTAAACCTTTTATGAAGTACTTTGATCCCTTCAAAGTTGATTTTTTGTCCCGTTTCTAGTTAATGTATCGCCATTTCTAATTTCTTCCAACTTCCTTAAGGTTAATCGAAGATTTACAAAGGGATCATTAAATTTTATTCGCTACGATTATTTCAAATGCAATTTTGCACATAATGTCTCCTACAAACTCAGAGCCCAACTTCTATTAAACTATTCGTTCAAATATTGAGGAATATTCATATATGTGAATAGTTCTTGTAGAATGCAAACCAAAAACTAAAGACTGCACTTATAATTCTAAGATGTGCCTTATTTTTCTATTGCACTAAAAATGGTAATATAAATTCACTGCTTTGTGATTAATTTTACTTATAAGTGGACTGTTCTATACATACATGCTTATATATCTCAATATAAATCAAACGAAATCATGAGTCGATCAATGTTAGACTACAATTAAAAACCTAAGAGTACTAGGCGGTCGTTTTATCTTAGTACGAGACTCCTCAGCAGTGCGCATCCACGTTCCTGCACACGAGATTCGAACTTAGGACCTTCGGTCTCGCAATATCATGTATTGGATGAAGTACGGCATTAACACCGTTGGGTACCGGCTCAGTGGTCCAGAGGTTAAGCGTTCACGAGCGAGACCGAGGGTCCTGTGTACGGGCTCCGGGTTGTGGATGCTCACTACCAAGGGGTCCCATACTCGGACGAAACGGTCGTCCAGTGCCTCCAGGTTTTCAATGGTGGTCGAACATTGATCAGTTCATGATCTTAATTAGAACCCAGTAATCTCCACAACCCAATACTGGTAATTAATCAAATGATTAAGCACTGGGATTTTTTTTATTCACAACCATCAACAACTGTTAATACTTGCACTAGTGAACATTGTACACATTGTTATTACTTTAAATATCCCTGGATGCTTCTAGATAATCACAATGATTATTTTACTTTAAGTTTATTTATTATACCTCTATAATCATATGTGTATGTAAACTTCTAATAAATTTCAAATATTACAATTAAAAACAATTTCCTTTCTCTTTTATGTGTCATAAAAGTGTGGAGCTGGGAAAAGTGTTAGCCAAGAAAATTCAACCAGAATTAACTACCAATGAGCTGGTTACTAGTCATGACTCTTCAACAAATGGACTAATTGCATTTATTAAAAATCATCGAAAGTAAAATCATGGTTGCCACACGGAAAAATAAAGAAAACAACCGGAAAATCTTAATGAATTCAATCGTAATTATAATGACAATTTTAATGAATAAATTTAATATTTATATTTGATTTAATCAATTTCTTGATAGTTAGTAGTAAGACAATATTAAAGTAGAAAATTTTGATACTATCAATAACAATTACCGTTATTACTATCATTATTGAACTATTGTTTAAACTGTCGGCCAATAACCTTCATCGGCTCTGTGTAGTTTTCTTTTTTTTTCATTAGCCAATAGTTATATATTTGTGATATAAAATGATCGCATGATTACTGAAATATTGATAGTACTATTCTGATCTGAATAATTTTTAATTTCTAGTTACTTTGTCTTATCTGTCACCTTAGTGAGTAGTATGGTCTCTTGTACTGCTTATTTTTGGGTTTTGTTTACTAGTTATACTATATACGTTTGATTGATTACATGAGAGTGCATGAATAAATCTTACTCTCATTTAATTTGTATACCTCTCCCTTACTTGATATCAATTTTGGTGATGAAATATAAAAACTTTTATGAACTATTGTGTTGAGTTTCAAATACAGATCATTCAGCAAATGAAAGCTATCTTCACAGTTGAATTTACGAGTCGATCTAAGCTATACCACTACTAGTCCTGGGTTCGAGTTCCGCGTGTGGGATTGTGGATGCACACTATTGAGGAGTCATATACTGGGACGAAACGGCTGTCCAGTTCTTCCAGGTTCCCAGTGATGATCTAGCTTAGATCGACTCGTGAATTTAACTGTGAAAATACTGCAATCTCTACAAACCCCCATACTGAAAGTTATCTACTTAAGTTGGCTGGGGGAAAAGCGTATATCCAAAAGCTTCATGTGCATAGAAATTCACATACAAACTTTGCTTTATTAGACTGAAGAAATTTGTAATCCCTACTTTCACTTAATGAATTAAAGAATCTTACTCAGAAGAATTTTTTGACTCGTTAAGTTAATGCCATGGACAATTTGTATCCCTTACGTTGTACAAATAGAAATATTGAACATGTAACAGCTATTTAAACATTGTTTGTGTACCTTATAGATATATATTTGCGTATATTACTCTGAGGTTTGAAGTTAATGTAACTGATGAGGTTCCTAATTGTTGTTTCAAGCATTATACACGTTCTCACCACGAGTATCCTAAATCAAAAGACTTTTAGCACACTTGTGAGCAAAGGATAAGCTACCGGTGTACTTACTTAATTTTATGATCTTTGACAGGTGTAATGAAATTTATAGACGTCTTAAAAAGTAGCCCGATGAATCATAATACCTATTGTCAGTAGAGAATTGTGGAGACTGCTGAGTTGGTCGAGCACTATCGCGCGTTGGATGAAGCTAGACATTAACACCATTGGTTTAGAGGCCAATTGTTCGCGCGTGACCGAATATCCTTGGTACGAGTCCTGCGCACGGATCGTGGATACACACCGATGAAAAGTCCTATACTAGGACAAAACGGCCTTCTAGTGGTGGTCTAACATTGGTCAGTTCATGATCTCGACTAAAATCTATTGGACTACACCATATCGATCATTGCAAGCTATCGGTCGGGTTCATACTTCAGTATACATCTCAGGATTCTGTTATTTGAAATATTATGTTTTTTTACATCAATTGCTTGGTTAAACTGACTTATTTTGATTTTCAACATGCAAATATGCTAAACCCCATGAATTATTATCTAATATTTTTATCCAAGTAAAATAAAATATAAACACTTTTATGATGTTTTGAGAAAAGTGCATATCCCTTTTGTCTCATAACTATCAATAAATTACGACTAACTCTTTATGTAAGTGTTTCTGAATAACATCCTGTTCTATCATTGTGACGTTTCATTCTCTATACTTTGCATTATATTACATGAACGTATGCATTCGCACTCAGAGCATACATTAAACAAATATTTTCGCAGCTCCTCTCTATTTTAGTATTATGATTTATGTTGATTACGACTGAATGGTTATTTGTCTTTGTGTTGTGTGTAATTAAATTGAACCTATTCATTATGGATGCGTTAATTTTACATAATCTTAAGTCAACTATTTATGTACAGAAACAATTAATCCAATTACTTTCATTGTCGTAATCCAAGTTTTCTTCAATTCCTTTATGTTTCATTTTCCTCCTTATCTTTAATGTACATAATTTTTTTAATCGTCCATCGTTCTACATTATAACACTTGTGTAAAGTTCAAGTTTTAATTCCTTATTGACAGTAATTCCCATTTGTACACCTAAAAATATCACACCATATTATCAGTACATATAAGAACTTTCATCTAAATTTAAACTAACAGTTTCACAGTAATTGGGTGCCAATTTCATGTAAGACATTAAGGAGGAAGAATATATTTGTAAAATCTCAACGATTGAATTTCAAGTAAATCCAACATTTTGTTCGGCAATCCGATCCAAGCTTTTTCATGAGAATATAGTCAAAATTATCGAATATAAACAGTTAACTGTATACTAAATAAGTAATCCTTCACTCAGTATACCCTATTTAACTAAACTCAGATTATTCTGTTTAAGGTTACGAACAAACCTTTCACCACATTAGTTGTTTCGTACACCTTTTTAGGTAAAATCACAAAGAATTATTCATTAAATTGTTTATTTTAATGCGCAATTAATTTTTAAAAATTCCTATATGCATAGAATTTGCCTATAATGTTCGTGAGCAGTATTATAGATATGTTGTAAATAGAAAGATAAATATTCAGAGCAATGCAATCAAGCTGTGTGTTATGATAGACTAAAATGAGTTCTTTAGTGCATGTACTCCATAGTTCATCAAGTTATTTCCTCTTGATAAAGTCTAGTTTGTTCCATTTATTATTGGCATTTCCCAAATGTAAATAGCTCCATCTTCGCTGACCGTGACAATGCTTTTTTGATCTGGTGATATATGTAATCTTGTTATTGGTGATGTATGTCCCAGCCCTACATGGGTTATTTCACCTTCATTGTACTTCCAGACCTGAATTGTAGATTTATGTCAATGATTAATATATTTTTTTTTAAAATATGATTTAACTGATGAACTATATACGTCTTAAAGGTAAGGTGTTAAATAATTGGTTTATATTTGCAAACTGCAACGTCGTAAATTAACTCGTATGTCTGACAACTGTTTATCAAATCATACGTTATTTCTGCGATTCCTTTCTGTAATAGACGAACCCTTTAACCTTTAAACAGGTTACTTTCGAAAAATATGAAGATTTGCATTCTTGTCATAATTAGTATATAGTTAACACTATAGAGGAAAGAATACTATCGGAATCTTACTCAAAAAGCCATCAATTTGGTGGTTTTCCTTCAAGTAGAGGCAAACTATCTTATGTACAACCACTGTGAAGGATTAATATTCAGTATTGAATAGTTATGTTATAACTCCTCAATCAATTCCAGTTGAATTGTATCATGTACAATGATGTGACTGAATTCCGTCATTAGTGTCGCACGCCTCATCACAATGTCTTCTACATTGGAAATTTTACACTTATATCACTTAATGCGAAGGAACACTTGATGGTCATTCCGATTATACTCTGTCTACTCATGTATTCACTTACCAGTATTACTCATGATGTCTTCACCGTACTGAACAACAAATAATATTATAAACATTCAGCAGTTAATTGGGTAGTAATTAGAAATTACTCACGTAAACAATTCAAAGTTGTTGGTAAGCATGATAATCAACATGTAATGAAAACTAAAGCGTAGGTAACTACCATATTCTATTACCCAGTCTTGTGTGGTAAGCAAATTATTTTGATTTTCATAAAATAAAAGACAGTTTGTATTTATTGGTCAAAGAATTACATTCACATCTTATAAACAATCTGTTAAGAACAAACGTTGACTGGCATTTAAAAAATATGCAGTCAAACATATTCGAATGTAGTTCTAATTGCTTACAAAAATCACGCTTATTACTACTTTTGTGTTATTTTCTAGCAAGCTGCTTTGATAAGACATTTAGCCTATCTAAAAGTCAAACTTTTTACTAAATGCTTACTGATAAATTATCTTCATACATCTGTTGGTTTCGTTAAATCGACCACCGAACGAATAGATGTATTTTGACAGCTTTCAGTTAAAATTTAATAACGCTATTATCTTCACCTGGTATTGTTTGTTTGAATCTTCCTGTTGATGTTTAGGACTGCAAATGATCAGTCTCTTATCGGCATGTGTGCGTATTACCTCGATATACCCTGAATTCACAAGCATTATATGCAAAGATGCAGGTACATACAGCTGACGAGTCCCAGATAGGATGAAACGCGCGTCCTGGATTCCACTGCTAGCCACTATCCATCTTTGCATATAATGCTATTATGTGTTTTTATTTTCAAGATGAAATGGTGTTCTGGTGCATAAATTTGTCTAAGAGGTTTATTGTTTTTGGTTATGTAATTATTCCTGCTGCCTCTATGATTTCTACTTCAGGTAGATTCATGTCTATGTAAACTGAGAAGTTAGCCGTATATATTATTATTATGTAACAAATAATTACTTTGTTTATTTACTTTTCTAAAGTATACTATCACTGTAGTAACATTTTTTGTCATCATTTTCGCAAAATGATAAATATTTCTTACCTTGACGAGTTTATCATTTCCACCTGTAACGAATGTGTTACCATCATCTGTTATGTCCATGCCATTAATTGAGCCTGTTCGTGAACCATCTAATTGTCTTATTAATGAACCATCGTATACTTCCCAATAACCTATTTTTCTATCTGTACCAGATGTAATAATTTGACATTCTGTTGGATGATAACAAACACATCGGAATAATGTATTTGAAAAGATAACTTGTTTACGACGGAATGTTCTGGAAATTAATGAGTAGTAAAAGTAAGAGAAATAGTGACACTTTAGAAACTATAATAACTTGTGCACTAGAAATCATTAGTATATATATATATATATATATATATATATATATATATATATATATATATATATATATATATATATATATATATATATATATATAGTAGCAATGACTGTACAAATTCCCGCTACAATCGCGAGACATCTCCAATTAACTGGAAACGGAAATTTTTACTCTTTAATATTGAGTCGGTAGTCGAGTTTTGAGTTTGATGTACACTGTTAAGACTTCTGGAATTGAAATGTAACATATGTTCACTGCTTTCTAACTTCCAGTGGTTCATCAACTGAAGTTTGTGATATAAACATCAGTTTGAACATTTCTTCAAACGCTTTAATTAATTGTAAATATCATTTTCTTTATTTATTTAATCAGTTTCATCATGTTTTACAAAGAATAACTCATTGAAACATTAGTGGTAACTTTACATTGTATGAACTCGAAGAATTTTAAAAGCGGACTGAATAATTTTATTGTTCTGTTTAACTTTAACTAAGATTGCGTGCACCTCCTCGAAATAAGTCCCGTCTTAAATGAAACCTGGTTTCGGTGGTTGGTGACGTCCTTCGACCTATGAAATATGAAATATTTTTAAAAGTATTTATCCTTTATACCTTGATTAAGTATACTTCTTATGTAAGTTAGCCTCTGTTATATCTCAAGGGGCCGCTGATTATAGGACAGTGACTTATCGATCGAATCAAGGGATTCAGAATCTTGATAGACTATTCTGGTCCGTTGTCCCCGACTCAGCTAACACGATCAAGAAATCTGGGTGAGGCGTAGAAAGTGTATTCTACAGGCAAACAGCAGATACCAGGTCAGCTCAAGCACACAAGTCAAGCGTATTTATACAAATATTTACAATCGATATTGTCATAGTAAAATGTTTTTAAACATTAATCAATAAGTTCATCAATCGACAGTCATTCAAATATTTAACATTTAATCGATAGGTTGATCGATAAGATGAAATTACAGAATATGAGTTTTGGGGATCTATCGTCCCCAACAGTCTCACATTTAACAAAATTTTATTTACATGAATAATAACGTCTGGAATAGAATTTAATCCTCAGAATCATGTAAGACAGGGTTTCATAGATGACTGTGAATTGTGCTTAACACTTCCTTAAACAAGTAATTGGTGATGTTTTTTGTTTCGCATATCCATAATAAATAAACTAACATCGAATTGTAATCCGGTACAACATTCTTTGCTCTATATATGTGATGGATTAAAATCTTATATAAATTGACCCAAACGTTAGTTATTTTCAATGAGTAACAGCTAGCACAGTACATCCTGTTGGCATTTCTTGCAAATTAGAAATAGTAAAAGGAAATCTTTTCAATTTGACATTATTCATCTAAAAAATTAAAATAATGGTAGTAAGACTTACTCTAAGCACCAAACAATACACGTAGAATCCGCTGAAGCTGATACGCATGATTTATCATCTCTGCTTATTTGAATACACGAAACGGCATTTGTATGCTCATACATTGCAGCTACTAGTTTACTTGAGTAATTAGAGTTTTGTATACTATTCGATTTGTCTGTAAGTTTTAGTCTACCACGATGTAATTGATTGTTCGCAGGTTGAGCTTCTCTAATATCCCATACACGTACTTGGCCTTCACCCCCACCACTAATTATCCGATCACATGTTGATGTGGTGCATAATGCAGTTACACCTTTCTTGTGAGCATTCTGGATAGTATACATTAACCTTCCGGTTTCGGGGTAAAATGCTCTTATTTTGCTGTCATCCCATCCTTCATTCGTAAAAAAATCAGTTGTGAATAAAAGTCATTTAATACTTATTTTGAAACTATTTGTTCAGTAAACGTTTACCGGGACGAATATTAGGGAAGTTGCAACTTTCTACAACTCAAATCAACTTCAGATGAAACATCAATATCAAAAGATATTTCCTAATATAATCTACTATATTCAACTGATAATAGATGTGACTAAATTTTATCATTCCCAAATGAATTTATCCAGGTTGAATGATTAATATATGCTATAATTTAAGGGCATTATTCTAAACTCTTTCAGATAAATATTAAATGACTCATATAAATGATGTTCCCTTTGCAGTTTTACACATATTAGACCAATTATAAAATCTGCTATTTGATATAGAATAAATTTTTAATATTTATAGTTCAATTGACAGTACGAACATACACGATCTTATCTCTCCCTTAGTTTCATATATGGTTTTATTTTACGCTTACCAGTTCGGTTAACATAGAGATTTATGTGACTTTCTCATAATTTTGCTACTAATAAGTAGCTAAATAATGAACTATGTTTTATTCAATTTGTCTCATTATGATACTTTTGTAAATCAAGAATAAATATTGTAAGATGTTGTGAATTCATTTCATTTTGTATGCTGTAAATCTTCCATCTAAGTACTGATATACATTTTTGAAATTCATTCTTGTTTACTAAAAACAGAAAGACTGGATCTTTTTTCAGGTCTTAACACAACTATTTGATCATATATGGCTTTTCTATAATCGTTTAGTTAAGAACATAAAGAAACTGTTGGTGTGATAGGATTTTGACTCGCTAGGTCCACAAGCGTGATTTTAAACCAATCTTCTTTGTCTCTCTAGACAACCGACTATACACACTTTACACTAACATTCTAGGTCTATTCGGTCCAGTCTTCTATGTGAGATATGAAGTTTGGTAGCTAAGGTTAGGACTTGCAGTTCCAATATGGTCAAACAAATGTCAGAAATATTTGTACCACGCTCTTATGAATTTTATCGAAATTGCTTTCTCTTGACAGATTCTTGAATTAAAGGTTTAGATAATTTCACCTGCGTCTCCGAGTGAGTGTATGATTCCAACTTTATAACGTTATCAGTAATTTTATCACAATAACACTCCCATTGTCCATTCCATTCATATTTTCATTTCTAATTTGTGTCCATTATTACTAGTCTTATTATTTCACGGTTATTCAGTATGATGTTTCACCTCTTATTAATCTAACTTCAGCTTTCTGATATCTATTATTATTAATAATATTATCAGTACAGAGTCTAATATACATTATTGGGTGTTTTTGCTATCACTGATCGACTTATGTTGGACATCCACTGAAAATTAAGAAATATCAAACAGATTTTCGTTCTTAGTACTTAACTCCTCAACAGTAAACACCCATTATTCAATTGGAACCTAGCTCTTGACCTTCGGTTTTGCACACGAGCGTTTAATCGATAGACAGCAGAACCCAAATCCAACAATGCATATGTTTAACTTTAATAGATTCTCAGTTTTATCTCCATCATTCCATCTATTCAGTAGTTTACTGTCTCAAATTTGGTACGATTGCGCTCCATTGGTCATGAATTTCACTAGAATTTCAGCTTTACCTCCTGAAATGAGTCACTAGTGATCACATTAATAATACCATTTTCGTCTCATGAATTATGTGAACTACCAATTATTACAAATAAGCATACTATGAAAATGAAAATTCAGTTTGTTGGTCGCTGTAATAAAATTATCTGAAGTGTACAGGTTTCATGAAACTTACAGTCAGTTTCAATAAAACTATGTTAACGAACAGTTTCCGTTACCTGATATAATAGCTGCTCCATCACGTAATATGTCTATACAATAACACGTCATATTTGGTATATTGATGCGTAACAGTTCATGTTGATTTATTTTATTAAAAACACGAATATCTTGGTAGGCACATGTTACAAACAAATCAGAGTATTTACTAACAAAATAAAAAAACATTTGGTCATTAATTAATACACGTTTAAAATAAATCATTAAAATACTATTGCTAGTAATTGTTTAAGTTTTCCCTATGCCGATACCAAATTCTGTATTTTATCAGTATCGATAAATGTGCATTCTGAGCGGATCACCTAGATACAAGTTTCTGGTAAAATTGAATTGTGATTTGCAATGAAATCCATACTGCAAATTCCGTTCTATTTGGAACTCGTCAGCCAGATTTTTTGCCATAGCAGTGTAAATGTTCGTATTGAGACTTGAACTCAGTACCTCTTGTTTCAAACACCATTGAGTTATCTACTGGTATACTGAGTTCAAACAGCTACTAATATATTGGAAGGGTATTATTTTTATGCCATAATTAGCAACTGTTCGAGTTTTTTCGTTGTATAAAACTAAAGGTAGTAGGTCTGAGTCCCAATATCAACAACAACACTAGGATCCAGGTATATTCAGCTGATGAATCGTAAATAAAACAAAGCACTCGTCATGTACTCCACAGTTACCCATTACCCAGCGTAACTAATTCATTAGAAGATTTAACTCAATTGTTTTTCTCACTATTTATTCGTCTACAATATAACTCTTACTTAGGTCAGCTTTAAGTTATTTGGTTGAATTTATTATTTAGGTTGTTAGTACAGTTATTTTACATACAAAACACGTTTATTGAACTTAATACCAATACCAAACTTCGTACTTTATGTTTTTTTCTGCAATATAATCTTATCAATCACAAAAGCTGTAAAAGATAATAAACTAACATATGATAACTAGAATATATTTAAATCTATGATACTTTCAAATTGTATTCAGTTGGTAACTAAATCACATTGACTTTCAACCATCGGGTTGTAGGTACGTGCTTCAAAACTGGGTACATCAATGAAGTCGTTGCGTGATACAGATCAAAAACTTCCGCAGCTATCTAAACGTATTCATTATTTGCCCCCCTTTAGATTTTGAGTTTATTCATAATTTCATGTCACTGATTCTTACATTTCAATCACTCTGTTTAAATAATATTGATTTTTTCTACTGTTCCCGTTATATTTCTACTTCACTGTCGATCATATTGATTTTTTATGTACTAATGAGATTTGGCAATTTCGCTTGATCCACATCTATTCCTAGTCTCAAGCTATTCATGACTAGCCGAGTGATTATACGGGTTAATAAGTAGGATGAGCTTATTCACACTTTTTATAGTGGTCGTTGATCAAATTATTCTAAAATTAAGTCACCTTTTGGTCACTTTTATTTGATTACGTCATAAAATATGAATTTTCACACCTGTTACGTGTGCCTGAACACCGACTACCACGATGCGCAATGCTGACTAGTGTTGGGAATGGTTGGAAGTTAGGTGCGGCCAAACCAAAACGTAACATCAGTGCTTGAAGTCACTAACTTCTAGTCTTAGCCATGTTGGTAGATGCAGACTACTTGGTTGGGGTCCATATATACAACCTTTATTCATATCACTGCCACTGAAGTAACTGCTTCTATGAATTTGGTGCTCATGTTGTGCTAAAGAGTTATGGCAACTTAGACCGATTAATATATGTGTCTGCTCCCACGTTGTAGATGACTGACTGAACTTACCATAGGGTGGTTTAAAACATAACATTGAAGTAGTTGATGTCCATTTACTAAATCTATCTACCATATTCCGTTTAAATTGTATCCTTTAGTGTAACAATAAGTAGCAGTTCTTTGTTATGACCGCTAATTTCGAATATTTCTATGTAAATCTGTGCCTTTCAATAACAATCAACACAAGATTCTAACTTTACAATATTGTTGTTATTAAAAATATTAATATAATGTTTTCACTTACTATGGGAATTTAATGTCGTTGACCGCAGCATTATGGCATGTTTTAACAAGTTCATGGCTGAAATCTGAATAATTAAACCGGTAAAGATGACATTTATCAGTTGTAACAAAGAACTGGTGTCCTTCTCCACGAAGACTAATAGCTGTGACTTTTCCCAGAAGCTCTTTCATTTTACTATAATAAAATATACAGATTTGTAACCGAACATCTAAAACACTAACATGTTTGTTCAAAGTTCACACTGATAATCTTAAGTGAAAATGTTATGATATGACGAATATCACACGAGTTGCAATACAGTACAGAAATCTGTTCTTCTTGGAAATATAGCAGAATAAAGACTAATTGTTTTCAAAACGTTCAGGTAAGCTTTCAACCTTTAAAAAAAAACAACTGTATATCATTCTAAGGGTTAAAGACAACATAATCAGAAACTTTATTGATGATTCCTAATTATAGAATCCTTGAAGGGAGCGAAAAAAGCTTCTATTATTTTTTTATTTTCATTAACTACTAATTAATATGATATCAAAATGTACTTAAAATTATGAACATCAAAGAGTTTTAGTCAGTTAGTTCGAATTAAACTGAATTACGATTAACAGCTAAAATAGTATGGTTTGATTCTTGTACGTGAAATAAACTTTCAAGAAATTAACACTGGTTTATTATTGCCTTAGTGATATAAAGTTCTCTTACTGGTAACACGTGCAGATTTATATATGTTACAGTTTGAGCGGTCTTGTAGGATATTTATATTGACTGACTATTATTATTCTTGAACTATTTACTTATCTTAAATAAAGACAAGTGCTTTCCAATATCTTTCTGTTGCAATTTCACTTTGACTTCCGACCTTTGTTAGCAACTGGTTACTTTACTGCTATTTGAAATTATTGTTTTATACCTAACAAGCGTTTTGTGACCACAACAGTTGCTAGGTTTGAAGCTATCACGAGTTCACTTAATCTGAGAACGAGAAAAAAGGCTCAGTGACCAAAGACCAGTAAGCTAGCTATTTGATGCATCCCAGTCCCGCTAACTAGAGGGACAAGTCCAAGCTTGGAATGGAAAAGTATATTCTGCAAACAGCCAGAAACGAGCGGTCCCAAAAATTTCCACTCATTATTCTTATCTGGGCATAACAAGAGTTAGTTAATTTCATGTGCATGTATTTATAATATGCTTGTTTGGTCTTCCTGTTTATATTCAGAATTCAAGCTTTCCAGTCTAATATCAGTTTATGGAAAACCATGACATGAGAAGTCGTTAAATCAATGCAATAAAATAAAGTATACGATTACTAAATAATAATTTGATCGGTCACTGAATTGAAATCTCTTAAGTTTTAGTTAAACAAGTAAGACCATTTTACCCTTATATTCGACTTGCTTGTATATGATTTGTTATATCCCAACACAGAATAATTCAATAGTAACTTTTAATAATTATTCATGGACAATTATTATATATATTCTTATTGGATAATTATTAAGTGACTATATTATATATATATATATATATATATATATATATATATATATATATATATATATATATATATATTCATATTGCGTTTGTCATAAGCTTCCGTTTGACTTAATGACTACTAGTATACTATTTACTATCCTTAAGTTATTCCCAAGTTATTAGTTATACTCTCTCACAACCACAGCCACTTTCTGGTTTGATCTTGTATGGTTTTTATTTTCTATTTTACGGTATGATGTGATCTGATTTGTTTGTATATCAACCAGGCATGTCTGAAATATATAATTCATACAGTCGAAGCTGATATTGATGTTCTTTGGACTGAACAGGCAGGTCTAGATTAGAAGGACCAATAAGGATTCTAGGCTGCTCGTACCGGCCAGCGAGTCATTGGTTTGGTACAGTGCTAAGATTGTATAAGTTGTGCTCCGATTGGAAATTATATCATGTGATAATTAATCAGGCAAAGGTCACAACAAGATTAAATGTTCCACCGGAGAATAAGCTAGGTAGATACACTACTACAGACCTAACTACACGTAAACAGAAAACTTGAATTTGTGTATGTTGTGAAATGACAAACCCGACTTTTCATTGACTGTTGGCAAAACTTTGCACAATATGCATCATACACTAGCAATTCTTAACGGTTTAGGACGTTATCAGAATGCGAACTATGAACAAAGATTAACATAGAGTAGATAGATACAGAAGCCAATCAAATATGAAACTTTTCTTACTGAAATAAAACTGCAAACTGCTACTGGATTTTGAGTGCGATTCCTTTAAGACGTTGTGTGATGCAATAACTCAGGAGTCAATCAGGTTGTTGAGGTCAAATCCTATTCAGAATACTAATAATCTCGAGAAAAACACCAAGTGAGGTTCTAGAAACAGTGATAAAACTGATTAAATATGTTGACCTGACAATCGATTGTATTAGCAAACTAGTTTTTTGCCAGACTTCAGATAGAACGCAAGCTTGAAATAGTTATTTTCAATCTTGGAACTTGAAGGAATAAAAGTATTTTGTTTCACAAATTTAACCGGTTATATTATTCTTAGCTGATTAGGTCAATATTGTTATCTTGAATTTAAGAGAGCTTTATTGTCGTTTCTAAATTGTAAACCGGTTACAACTTGATGACTAAGAACACTGGTCCCAAATATGAATAGTTTTACTCGAGGGCATCATCTTGTAACAAATCCTTATTTCGTCTGTTAATGCAGAAAGTAATAAATTAGAATTGCGAATCGTAGAAGATTTGGAGTCAAAATGTACAATAAATTTTGGTTATAAGGACTGACATTTCATTTCTAAAAGTGAACTCAGCAGATTCACTCACTTTGTCTTGATCAATGTTGGGAAGCAACGTTTTCCTTCTTTTCTAACGGTGTAACAAAATTCTTGCACAACTCCATCCCCTGATCCAACAAGTAACATTGATTCTCCTAATATCTTAAGTGTGGTTACACCCATACTAAATCCGTTTTTTTCAGGTGCAATAACTTGTAACAGGTGATGCTTCATACTAATCGTCAAAACATCGCCAGTTGTAGTTCCTGCAAAAAATATTTCGTCATTGTGGGAAACCTATAAAGAGATCAATATTAAAACGTTACACATACAGACAGACAGTGAATAGTTCGCTTAACTTGACCTAAGTTACAATCTGCTGGCCTGATTTTACGATTTTCCAAATCTAAGCTCCACACTCGCACTGTGTTTCTTAAAAACGTTTACAAAATTCAGAATGACATACTCTCCAGCTGTAATAAATGTGTTTTCAGAAATATTAGCGCAAGCTAGCGCCAATGTTACTCCAGCACTCTGTGGCTGTGCCGGACTTCCACAAACAGCTTCTTTTTTTGGCACAGACCAAATAACGACACTGTAAATGTGAGAAATACTAAAAGAATTACCTTCCGTCATCTTGCCCTCCAAGACTTGCGAGATAACTTGAATTTCGCGAGAAGCTTAGGGCCTGAACCTTCACTTTGTGAAGCACAAATTCGGCATATTTTTCCTTTTTTTCAAAACTCCACACAATAATTGTTGCCTTAAAATATATCTAGTTGAAAATAAAAACAGTTACTTTGTATCCCATATATGTAACCTGACAGAGGCTATAAATGATCCTGACTTGTCAATGTCCATGCAAACGACGATGTTTGTATGTCCTTGCAAAAAGAATTGCTCTCCTGTACTTATATTTTCAATAATAACGTTGCTTCCTAGAGAAAATACAACATGTTGTCCATCAGGATGTACCAGGAAACCGTTCTGAATTTTTCCTTAACAGCTGATAGTCATGGCAATGAAAACAATCAAACCATTAAAGCCTATCACCCCTGTAAGTTTGAGCTTCTCAAATCCAACTTCCTCATCCATTGTTCATATAGTGTGAAAAACGACAATTTAGGTGAAATAGCCGTTGGTTTAAATTCCCCTATGAGATGCGTATAGACTAATCGACTAAGAACTAACTGTTTAACTAAAAATATTGATGCAACTAGCCTATTGACAGATAATTCTAGATCGACAGTCGTTTTCTATCTTCCCGAGTTGATTGCTTTGAAAGATTACGAGGTTTACTATGACAACTTAATGCACTTTGATGGATTAAAACGAATCACTAATAGTGGTTGTTCAACATATAACTATAATGTGATAAATGTTATTTATCGAACTTCACTAAATTCTTTGCTGTCGCCCCTCATAATTCTAGTAAATTCTCGGGTCACTGGTAACTAAGGTAATAAGTGTACTAATCTGTCTGAAAAATGTGAAGCCTTGTATTAACGGTAACTGTCAACCAGCACTTCTGACTACATTTTACGAATGTTAGGGCTATTCAGTTCCTCGTTTGCTTATCAACCTAAGTTATTAGCCTACTAAAGTGCATAAAGTTTTCACGGATATTCAGGGTTTGATAACGCTATTGTCCTCAACAACTTTGCAATAGAGCATCTCAAAAACAGCCAAGTCTGAAGTCAGGAATTAGTCATTTCGAAGATGTGCTTGGAAGATAGTCGATGGATTGAGAAGTATGTGAGCTTAGCTGACTAGTTGTTGTGTGAGATATGAAACACAACATACCCAATAGTGATTTGATGAGGATGCTTGATCGAGTGATTTCAGCTATAATGTGTCGGGTAAACCTGATGGAGTCAGTATCAATGTTGAGGGCTCACAGAACTTTTTATTTCGGGTATTTATCTACCGTTACAATCTTAGTAGCAAGAAGCTATGGTAGTTGTAGACCTATGTAATTGTAATTCGTAAATTTACTTGCTCTTTTGGGGCGTATTCATCCAAAGATATACAAAATCGATGCATCTTTACGTTGCTGAATGCCATTCATAGTTGTAGGACATTATCAATACAAAGTACTAGATTTGAGTACATTGAGAGAATTTCTGACCGACTAGTGAACACTATGACAGCACATACAATGACTTGAACGGTTCAAAACGCCAAAATCCACAACGGCTACTTTGGACACACAAATGACTCATCAACACTACATAAGCCTATCTAAAACGATTCTTCAACTTTATCGATTTTTAGACTCAATAATCTCTAAATATTTTCAGTACAACCAGTATAACTTTGAAAACGAACTCCGTTGATCGACTGACTAAAATAATTGTTCATTACATGAGGTACTGTTTCTTATTTATCTGGTGGACGATTTCGCTATATATGTTGGCTGTTCAAATACAACATACCGAGTTCAACTAACAGTCTGACGACACAATAATTCGTGTAAATGAATATCTTATAAGTGGAAAATGACAATGATCTACAAATCCCAACACTGGAAGCGCTTCACGCCATGTACTGCCCGAAAGTTGTCGATTCATTTATCTAACTGATATATTGCATTTGCCGTTTACCGTACTACAGAGACAACGTCATTGTCCTAACTGAACTCTTGACATGAACTTGTTATTTTTGTAACGACCGAAATTTTAGTATTTACTCTGAAGGTAGGACTAACGAACTAAAGTTTACTCCAGTAGGCGTAGCGTACAAGGCGTTGTGAGTGACTCGTATCAAATAATATGAAAACACAAAAACTGCTCAATTCAAACGTTCCCAATTTAGGAGGAAAAATAAGTTGTATCAAAGTACAAAATATCTCAAATGGTACAGCTTATATTATAAACTCAGATGTTTCTCTGGTTAAACATTAAAAAAATGGTTTATGAACAAGTGTTCCGTATCTGAAAATCAATAAGCGTATTCCTGAAGGCACCAACTCACATAACTATCTACGCGGATTCGCGTAACCTGCTGAAGGTAACAAGTTATTAGTAGAGTGTTTATCAGTGATGATTTCACTTGGCTTAAACATCTGGCTTGTCATCAATGCCCCACAAGATGTAGAGTGAGCTGTAATAGTAAGTAAATCCCCGAAACAAATAAGTCTGTAAATCTTTCATGCCGATAGATACCGCGTGTTCTATCAATAAGAAAGAGACTAGTTGTGAATAGGTACTTATTTAGATCGTGGAACAGAACAGCTGGGGAACGATGTTGTCTTTTGGAAGCACAAAACGTTTATTAACACTTAATATAAAGTAATAGGAAAAATAATGCCTATGCAAAATGAAGAAGTAAATTACTAATTGAGCTATGATTTTGTGACATGGCTGAGATGTTTGTGATCAACCTTTAACCAATCAACTCAAGTCCCTTCATCAGCTTCCCTCTGCCATCAACTTCCGCAGGAATGAAGTTCGATCAGCTTACTAAACAAGAGCATCTCAGTTTGCTTCCCGCAGCCTAAAGGTGTATAACTACCTCGTTCGATGTTCGACCGTCAATCGGTGATTGTCCAGTCAATACTCGAAGATACTCCACAGATGTCACCTACCTTACTATCTCCTTATCTTATCTCGTCGCACTAAGTTTTTCCACAAATTGTTGCCCGTAGCTTGTAAAACGTGTCCTCTAAGTGAGGATCAAAGCTTGCAAGAGAATGAAGGGTAGCAAAATGAAACAAGAATATCAGAGAAAATGCCACGGATGGGCTACATAACATCATTTTGGTGAGGTATGTTTTCCTTGTGTTCTATCCGGCCATTAGGTGTTTACTCACCTACCTCTTAAGTATCTTTCGAGTCAAAAACAAAGAACAATCTACTTCGAACAAAAAATAATTAGAGTTTGTCAAACCTGAGGAGCTGCTCTACTGTTTGTATAAGAAAATCAGATACTAAAGGGAATGTACAATTATAAGTGATAAATGTTCGGTTCTACATGAATGTTTGGCTTACATAACTTGAAGTCATAGTTCACACAAAGCGCTATACAAATATACTTTATAACAACTATAAACTCAAAAAGTTCTATTGCATAAATACTTAACACTACCAGAATTCCAAAATAATTATACCGATATTGGATCTGGTGTAACGTATATGCGGTGCAACTTTGGAAAACATTTTAAAGGCTGTACTCAGTGTAATACTAAAGCATAGACCAAATCATTATCGCTCCCAGACATCTGCACGAATGCATTGTTATACACTTTTATTGATTTTATCTATTTGACGACCCTACTGCAAGCTAACTTATGTCTCAAGTTATAGATCGTGCCCGTAAAGATGGCGTGTACTTGCAGAAATATACTGTTATATGTGTACGAAGTTTGTGGTAAGTATAAGCAGAAGTTAATGTTTACGACCACGAAAAAACTAAGCAAAGCAGGAATTAATAATTGTCTCCGCCGATTTCGCACAGGTGGATACCCCTTGTTCTGGTGACAAAATAAACCAGACGAGTAATAAACATGTTTTTTATTTAGATCGCGGAACATAACAGTTGGAGCACGAAGTTTTATTTTAACAACACAAAACGCTGCCCAACATATAACATGAAATAAAGGGACGTATAATGCCTGTACCAAATATGGAAATAAATGACTACTTGAGCTATAACATTTAGACATTACTGAGACATTTATGGCTAAACTAAATTGTTGCACTTCCTCAACATTGTTACTGACTCCATCAGGTTTACCCGACACATTATAGCTGAAATCACTCGATCAAGCATCCTCATCAAATCACTATTGGGTATGTTGTGTTTCATATCTCACACAACAACTAGTCAGCTAAGCTCACATACTTCTCAATCCATCGACTATCTTCCAAGCACATCTTCGAAATGACTAATTCCTGACTCCAGACTTGGCTGTTTTTGAGATGCTCTATTGCAAAGTTGTTGAGGACAATAGCGTTATCAACTCTTAGATATCTATTCCATATTTCGACCAGACTTTTCTTATTTTGGAAAACCTGAAATTGGCCAAAGATTCGAGGGTAAAGACGTCTCGGATACTCGGAGTTCGATTTCATCACTGTCGGGAACTTCTTCATACACAAATTTCCAACGGAAATGAAACCGATAATCGAAAACGAAGTAGTGGGTAGATTAATTTGGGTAACGGACGATATGTCGAAGCGATATTGAATCTGATTAGCTCTTATACGTGGTGAGAATCATGCTGTACTCAAACATGATCCGAATCAGGTGCTCGGTCTACCACTTTCATTTAGTGGTGTATACAGTGGAACCAATTATGTCAGGATCGACAATGGAGACTTACAAAGTTATTTATCCTGGAGATTTGTTAACCACTACAGGCACAAATGAAAGACGACATAACGGTTGAAAAACCATTCAAGTTCAGCTTACAATTTTATTCACTCCTCTGGAGTCTGTTCATTCAAAGACATTCAAAATCGGTCGAGTGTAGAATCGTCATGTTTTCGGAATAACGTTTCTAGGCCTGCTATTAAACGCAACTCCATTTCGTAAACGTGACAGTCTGCTTAGCGATCAATCGGAATGAAGCGGGAATTATTATATCCGCCATCTTGGTATGCAATGGCGGCCGGCTTTCTTTGTTCTGTGCTTTTCCCGCTATTTCTTTTGTGTAGCTACAGAATTTGATGTTTCAGTGTGTTACAGTCCAGAAGTTAATGTAATACTCTAAATGTTAGAACGAAATCTTCCCTCATTTGCTTTGTTTTCTGGGTTTTGGCTGCTGCTACTGAAGTCAATGTATTTCTTAAGCCAAGCTGGCTAGTCTTATGTTTTAAAATGGTTATGGGTTTTGTTTTGACTTGTTTTCTAGATATCCAAAGCCGAAGCTCGTTTTTAGATAAAATAATTGTTGCTACCGCCTGTGACTAGCTGTCCGCATGTTCGTTCCTGTCCTTTATGATGTTATCGGCAAAATGAAAGGAAACAATCTCCGGTTTTCAATTTTCTTCAGTCCTACGGACAACACTATCCCACCAACAAGTCAAACTAATACTGAGTGCCCAGCAGTAGGGGATATCAGTATTGATTTCGAAAGGACCCAGACTTGCGACAACCATAGATGAAGTCACAGATGCTAACATTCTATTGCAGGGGGTTTCTTATGAAAAATATGCCATTTAGCAGTAATAGAGGGGTTGTACTCATTACATCGTGCGTTAAAGCAAGCTTAACATTGAAAAGCCGGAAATCTGCTATCAATGTGTAGTGTATGTTTGCAGTTTTGGCCATTAAAGGAAGCCGAAGGGTCATGATCAGGG